ATGGTATATATATAGGGGGTTTCTTATTTGGATTTTTCGCCCGACGTACTAGTTTTGTCTAGTTAGGGGTTGAGTGGGAATATTGGTATTCTAGATTGTTAAGTGTAAATATTTTTATGTTTCATATCTGGAGATTAATGGTACGTGATGTGTATATGTGGGTTTCCTTGTCCGGATTATCCCCTCAATGTGTTTTTCTAATATTATTAATATCTAGGATACGATTGTAGAATTTTGGGGACGGAATTTGTTTTAAGGGGGGAAGAATGTAAAACCCTTTAAATTTAAATATTATGTGAATAATAATAATAAATATGTTATATGGTAAAAATATAACTTATTTTGATGTTTGCGTATAATAGGAATTGATTTGAGATTAATTCAATATATATTTGTGAATATATGAGTGCAAATGCACAAAACATGCACGAAGAGAAATATGGAAAAATGACCAGTATTTGTGAATATATGAGTGCAAATGCACAAAACATGCACGAAGAGAAATATGGAAAAATGACCAGTTAAGAGTTTATATATTTTACATACAAATGCACAAAACATGCACGAAGAGAAATATGGAAAAATGACCAGTTAAGAGTTTATATATTTTACATACTGATGCAGTTTGAATATAAAAAAACTCAAAAGACCAAAGTTGTAGGTATCTTTAATAGATTTCTAATAAATCTTAAATCACCTTATTCTACGGTCGGATGAGAAAGTTACAGTAAAAATACCGAATGTTATTTTTCCTAGTCAGACTAGATTTCCTAGTTCGAGTCAAACGGGTTTATTTCGGGTTTGCATATATATATATATATATATATAGAGGCTTGCACACATGATAAGGCAAGATCATATGCATCCAAACCCATCACCATAGTGTTTAATCAATGTTTTCATACTTAAGACTTAACCTAATATGAAAAATATGAGATTTTTAATGATAAATCTTAACCCAATGCTAGATCATTAGCTTTTCCTAATTATTTATGATAGTAACGTGATCATGATCATTAGGGGTAATCAAATTTTTATTTTCTAAACTTGATAATTATATTTAACTCGTGATTTAACCCTATTTTGTTGTCTAATTGAATTATAAAGAGATTTAGTTTTTGTTTTTATCATAGATTATAGAAAACTGCTGTATATGTATAACATTTAACTAAAATTTTGAGATATCATATAAACCCCAAACTGAATAAAACCAATGCCAAATAAAAGCTATATGAACCTATTTTCCAAAACAGAAAATCATTCTAAGAAAGTGTTTTTATAGAGAAAGATATACTCAATTTACTAATAACATGTTCTGTAGAAAACTATTGCACGTGTGCAACTTTTAACTGGAAATTTGAGATATCCTATAAACTCCAAACTAAACCAAACTAGTGCTAAATGATAGCTATGTGGATCTAGTTTCCAAAAAAAAAACTATTCTTAAAAAGAGTTTGTTTAGAGAAAAATATGCTTAATTTACTAATGATATATTCTGCAGAAAACTATAGATATGCTGATTTGAAATAATTGATATATTACGTGAAGGTTTCTTTGAGTTTTCTTGTTAATTAATGTAAAACCCTAAAAATTTAAATATTTTGTAATAAATAATAAATGTGTTGTATTATAAAAAAATAATATTTATTAATATTTGAGTATGCTAGGAATTGATTTAAGATCAATCCAATGTATATATGTGAATATAGAAGTGATATCATGCACACGTGCACATGCCGGAATCTGGAAAAAACGACTAGTTAAAGTATATGTATTTTACATACTGAAGCATTTGAAATATGGAAAAACTTAAAAGACCAAAGTTATAGGTCTCTTCAAGATATTTCCAACAAATCTTATATCACCTCATTCCAAGGTCGGACGTGAAAGTATGGCCAAAATATCAATGGTTGTTTTCCTAGTCAGACTAGGTTTCCTGGTTCGGGTTAAACATGTTTATTTCGGGTTTGCCTCTATAAATACTTATGTTTTTCATGAAAATTCCTCTCTTTTATCATATCTATAAACCCTAGCAGTCACCCTCTCTCCTTAAAAACCCTAGATAGTTTTTTATGAATTTTGAGAGCTTTGTGAAGCATAATACCGACACGAGGGCGAGATCTTCAACGTGTGACAAGGGAGAACGGGTTGTTTATGCTCGTGGATTACTTGTTGTTTATCTCAGAAGCTTAGAACGATATTGAGGCAAGATTAGCTTCATCCAAACTCATTCCCATAGTTAAATAACTAGTATAGATGATTAATATGATGTCGAATATGTGTTTTCATGCTTTAATTTTAACCTGAGGTGTTAAAAGTCAGATTTTTGATAGTAAATCTTAAATCAATGCTAGATTAGTAATCTTTTCTTTCTATTTATAATAGTATCTTATCATGATCATTATGGTTATTCATAATTTCGTTTATATATGAGAAAATTAAGAAATGTACTAAATATATATTTTCTACCGAAAACTACAGCACTTGTATAATATTTAACTGATATTTTAAGATAGCAAAAAAATTCCAAAATTAACTAAACTAGTTCCAAATGAAATATATATGTATCTAGTTTCTAAAACAGAAAACCATTCTTAAAAATAGTTTGTATAGAGAAAGATATGTTATGTTTACTAACAACATGTCCTGCAGAAAAACTGTTGCACATGTATAATGTTTAACTGGAGATTTAAGATAACAAATAAACTCCAAACTAAACCAACCTTATACCATTTGAAAGATGTGTGAATCTAGTTTTCAAAACATAAAACCATTTGTAAAAATAGTATTTTTAGAGAAAGATATGCTCGTTTTACTAACAGAAGTCCTGTCTATTTTCCTGCTCGTTTTGTGGAGCTGTGTTGTGCCGTTTTGAGATGCGTTCGCGGAGTTTTGAGCCGCTTGATGTTACACGTATAGTCATGAATATTTTGTGTTACATATTTGAGAATCCTAAGGGGATTATGATAAATTTTAATTTGATCATATTTGAATTAGAAATCGTTCATATACATGTTGGATGTCGTTGATGAGCACAGCTCAGTACTATATGGGATAGTGTGTCGACATACCAGATATACACGGTTTATATATGATGTAGCTGTCGTTGATGAGCACAGCTCAGTACTATATGGGATAGTACATTGACATACCAGAGATACAAAGATTTATATGAGGTGGATATCATTGATGAGCTCAGTTCAGTACTACATTGAGGTGGATATCATTGATGAGCTCAGTTCAGTACTACATGAGGTAGTGCGTCGATATTCCACATGTACAGGCCATTGAGTCGGATTTTAGGAGGCTTGATCTAACCGTCCGTCCCGCACTAGGGTGCGATGAGGCTTGTGGGCCGTATTTCTAGAATGCCTATTTGGTAGTCCGTCCCGCACTCATGTTACGCACTGAGATTGCGATGAGACTAATGAGCCGTGTACACAATTCAGGATACCTACAAGGTAGTCCGTTGTACTGAGACAATTACTTGATAGCCTAAGTGTGTCAGATGTAGATTATGAATACGACCTACCACTAAGCTATATGACCGAGATACGTTGCTTTTGAAAGTATACAAAATTATGTGTTGGTATTTTATTCTATCTCCCTAGATGGCAAGTTTGATATCTCTGGGTTCATCTTGAACTGTAGCTATATGTGAAAACAAGGGCGTCACATTCATTTCATCTCTAAGTGCCTTGCACTTAGAAAATAACTCGAGTATAATGACGTGGACTCAACCACAACATTTAAGCAAGCCTTCTCATTGTGCAACGCTAAGTGATATGTTCCACAATACAAAATCTATTCAAGAATAAGGATACGTTAGGTTTCGCTATACATGAATGATTAATCAAGAATCGGGTCAAATTCAAGCCGGTGAAAACTAATATAACCAACTACCATGTAAAGTGCTATTTCAACCAGAAAGCTCGAGGAGAGTATGCAAGTGCTCAAGATAAAGAAATTCAAAGTGTCCAAGGAAGCTTAGTGCAGCTGTTATGAAAAAAATCTAATGGGCAATTTATGATCTCTTGTTATTGCAGACTTCATACATGTTGCATTCTGACTGTCAATGTTGATCATAAGGCAACAACTTTCTCTTATATCTTCAAGCTAAATGCCAATGGCTATGGCCGAGGCTATGATCAACCATAACAATATCTGGGCCTCTCTGTAAAGCAAACGAATATATAAGAATGCAATATTATAAGAATGCAATATTGAAAATATAAGAAACTTAGTTACCTCTGTAAAGGATATAACATGTGAACGGTGTTGAGGCTGGTCATATAGGACCTCATCACTAACCGGTCCAGGCTGCATGGTGTATATACCTGCACAATTATAACATATCAATAACTGATCCACGGATAATAACTACAATTTCTATATTAAAATCACAATGCGAATATGTCAATTATTACTAATTAATTGCTATCTGTTGGGTCTAGCTGGACAACGAGGTCGAGTATGTCCCGGTTGTTTGCAAAGACTACATTTTTTATGCTTGACAATTCCTTCTCGTCCTTGATCCATGGTTCCTCTAATTTGCACAGATCGTGGTCGAGCTGCTTGTCTCTTGTATTGAGGTGGAATTAGTCGTGGTCCAGTATATTCGGGCCAATACCGACTATCATCGGGTGGATGAAAACTCTCACTGTATGTCTTTCGGTAATGAATTGTTGAATACCATGGTGAACAATATCGATTATATGGAATTCTTGCACCACCAGGCTGATTGGAAGAAGCCGCAAGAACATGTGCACAATGTATTTTTTGGAGTTGTGGTATGTTACATGTGCAAGTGCAATCAACATCAAACAGTTTAATGGTGTAGATACCGTCATGATCTTGTACCTGCCATTCATTGTCATTGAATACATTAATTTGACTTAATCTTGCCACCTCAATTCTTCTATGCAAAATAGACTCATTTTTGGGCGTGTAACACGTTGTCCAATCTACGCCATCCTCACGCCTTTTGTTGAAGTATGAGTTCAGCCTATAGAAGTTCTTGCAACCAATGATTGTATTGGCATGGCTCGTGCTCCTTTAAGAACGCCGTTAAAGCTCTCGGAGCAATTAGTTGTCATAATGCAAAACTGCACACCCTCATCCTTACATAATGCCCATCGATGCTCGAATTGAGGCTTCAAGTTATGTTCAATCCAATTATGTGCATCTAATGACAAAGACTTGATTTTCTCTCTACAATGTTCATACACTAATATATCGGTTGCACACCCAGCTTGCCACAAAAGATTTTGCAAATTAATCTCATTGTGCTTTTTCTTAAAATTATCTCTTATATGCCTTAAACAATATCGATGGTGGTGTGGTGCACCAAAACCCTCATGTAATGCCCTTATAATTCCTTTCATCCTATCCGAGATGAAAGTAATTAATCTGGGCGCACGGACACTAGGAATCCACTTGTATATAAGTTCAAAGAACCACTTCCAACTAGAAGTATCCTTTACCTCCACAACTGCAAATGCTAGAGGAAATAAATTGCCATTTGCATCTACACCGGTTGCCACAAGAAGCACGCCTTTGTACTTGCCATATAGATGCGTACCGTCATTGATCAATAACGGACGACAAAAAGTGAAGCCTTTAATAGCAGGACCAAATGCCCAAAATACTCGAGTGAACCTCTCAATCCCCGATGCAATCTCTTCAGACAATATTTCATATTCAGTACTCGGATTATTTCGCTTGATAGCTTCAAAATAATGTGGAAGTAATTCATAAGATTTTTCCCAATCTCCAAATATTTTAGACAACGCTTTCCTCCTTACATCATATGCCTTATATTTAGATATCTTAATGCCCCGTATATCATATACCCTTTGAAATATCTGACCTGCATTTAGATCAAGTTCAGCTTTAACTTTAGGCATAATTAGCTTACATATATAAGAGGAAGATGCAGAATAATCATCGACATCCACCGACGGATTGTAACATGTATGAAGCCCGCAATATCTAGATATTACAAATTGTCCATTTGATGATTTCCTCACAGTGGCATTTAGCAATTAAGGACATTTCCTGTTTCTCTCATCTTGCTCATTTGCATGCTCTACTTCATTCTTTTCGTTGAAATAACGTTTTACATAGTAGTTGGTTGCATTAGTTTTTACAGGCTTGAATTTGACCCGATTTTTGATAGACCATTCTCGGACCGCAAATATCAATGCTTCCTTGCTCTCAAATAGGTCCCCCTTTTTAAAAGTGAAGTCCTCAGGCCGTTGAAAATTTGGACCAACATCAACAAATTCAGCTTGTGAGGTATTTATCCAATCTTCATTATGAAACTCGTCGGGCAACGGATCTTCAGCTTCCACATAATCATTGTTAACATTAAATTGTTCCATCCAACAAGAATCATCATCGATTCCAACTGCCACATGCATGCTATCAATTTGCACGCATTCTTCTTCATTATCTTCTGAGTCATCATTTACTTCTTCTTCTACAATTGATCTGGCTGGTAGATCACCCGTAACATAGCCCAATGCGTCGTTAAATATAGTACTTGATGTCCCACCAAGAGAATGCCCACTTAAATATTGTAGTTGAAACCACGGATCTTGACTTGGAGATGTCATAAAACCACTCGACTCATTATCTAAGTCCATCATCCGAGAAAACTCTCCTTGAGGTCGTGAAACTTGGGCAAATTCTTGAATCATATACTTCTCAATGAACAACTCAACTGACACTTGCTTCTCCACTAATTGTTTCATGTCATTCAATTCCTCATCGTCGGTAATCGCCACAACAATAGTTCTACTATCATTTATTGGACAATTGAAGAACACTTAAATTTCATACCATGCTTTATTAATTTTCGTAACTCTGTGTATTTCATTCACCATTCCATCAAAATTGAATGACTTTGATAGCATAAACATTTTCCTAGAACCTCCCTCATACATCGGCATATTATTCAATCCAACGCCGAGGCTCCCATCGAAGAAGCAAAAAATGGGTATAGAGTTTGCCATCGAAACTGAAAATCAACAGTCCATCATATGTAAATAATCTATTATAACTGGAAATTTTAATCTTAATTTAAAATCAAATTTAAAACCCTAATCTCAACTGCAAAGCAAATAATGGCTAAATTTCCTAATCCCAAATCATATTATTCATGTCTAAACCCTAATCATGGTTAAACCCTAATCCCAAATCTTAACTAAACCCTAATCCCAAATCTCAAATCTTAACTAGAACCCTAATTCCAATTAAATACATTCTCAAATCCCAACTAAAACCCTAATCCCAACTGAACCGAACCCTAATTCCCTAATCTCAAAATACATTCTCAAATCCCAACTAAAACCCTAATCCCAACTGAACCGAACCCTAATTCCCTAATCTCAACTAAATACATTCCCAAATCCAACTAAAACCCTAATCCCAACTGAACCGAACCCTAATTCCCTAATCTCAACTAAATACATTCCCAAATCTCAACCCTAGTCTCAAATCTCAATTAAATCCATTCTCAAATCTCAACCATAATCCCAAATCTTAACTAAAAAGGAAATTTCATGGCTAAATAAAATTAATAACAAAAAAAACCATTACCTTGGTCGGCGGCGGTGGTCGGAGCTTGCTTGGTCGGCGACGGTGGTGGTCGGAGCGTGCTTGGTCGGCGGCGGGGGTCGGCGATGTCGAGACAGAAATGGGTTTGAGGAGTTTGCAGAGGCAAAGAAATGGGGTTGAATGGGTTTGGGTGAAAGAAATAGGGCTGAGGAGTCACGGGTGAAGGGCACGAATCCAAATGCACGGGACTGCTAGTCACGTGCATTTCGAAGCTGGGTCGAAATACACGGGACTAGCAGTCCCGTGTCTTTCGTAAAATCTCTCCGCCAGCAAAACCGACCCTTTTCAGAAGAAAATGGTCGGTTTTGCTGAATAAATTCGTAAGAGGTCGGTTTTGCTGATAAAAATGATAAAAAGGTTGATTTCGAAATTTTGTCCTTTTGAATACTACACATAGGGTTCTATTTAGTTTAGGATATTTAATTGTAGTATGTAAATGGTTTAAGTCATTCGTTTGTACAATTTTTAAGATAAAAGTCATTTAAATGCGAGGTTGGTGAAACTATTCGACATCTAGCCGCAATTTAGGGTGTGTTTGGATTTCAATGGGGTTAAGAAAAGTTAAGGGAAACTAGGTGAGAGAATGGAACGAAAGGGAAGGGAGTTCCCTTCCCCTTGGTTACACCCTGTTTGGAGGAAAATTTGTAGTAAAAAAGAAAATAAAGGAAAATTAATTTGTATTCCTTTAATCTCAATTACAATTGGATTTTGATTACAAAAGAGAAGAGAATTAATCTGGATTCTCCCCTTTGTTTAAAATTGGGTTCTTCACGGTGGCGATGGAGTGCCTCCCTCGAATGCTCGCATCGAGTTTGCTCTCCGTTAACGATCCGAACGTCTTGATTCACTGGAACGATGTCTTCTCCTCATGGTTTGACGTTGTGGAGAACTTGCAAAGCAAGTTTTAAAACTCTGAATGAGTTTAGAAGAACTCTGTGAAAGAGTTGATTTGAACCGAAAATCGGTTAATAAGCCTAGGCCGGAAGAAAGCTCCGTTGTCGAAGTTGAAGATGATCTTTGTTGGAGGATGATGCTGATCTCCTCAAAAGCTCGCCCAAGGATCTCTCCTGTTGCTGCCAAACTGAAGGGTCAATCCGAGCCAAGAAGTTCCAACAGACCGAACCCTGAACTGAATTGATTTTTAGTTATTTATAAATGATTAAGGGGGTGTAACTGCCCCCTTAAATCACTCCTAAGTGGGGTGTAACCGCCCTCCAATCATGGGAAACAGTTTTGGAACTATTCACAGATTTAAGGGGTGTAATTCCCCCTAAAATCTCTCCATAATGGGGTGTAACCGTCCCCATTAAGTGGAGCTATGGTTTTGAAACCGTTCAGGTTCTATTTGAACCAGTCAAACACAAAAACACGGGTCTGACCCTAGCGTTTTGATGTTGCAACGTAGGTTCGACTCCGGCGTTTTGATGTTACAACGCGGGTCTGACCCCAGCGTTTTAATGTTGACACACGGGGAGGACCTCCGTGTTTTAGTGTTGATGCGCAGGGATGACCTCTGCGTTTTGGTCTTAGAGCGCAGTGATGAGTTCCGCGTCTTGCTTCGAAGAGATTATCAACAAGTAATCTCTTTTGTCATAGCGTTGCAAAGATCATTGTCTTGTAATCTTCGTCTTGGCTCCTTGAGAATATGAGATTCATCAGATTGTAACTCCCGATGTTGATTGTAAGGCTGTTGATTAGAGATTTCATCAGTTATTGTGAAGATCGTCAGATTGTAACATTCATCAATCTATGTGAAAGTCTTTAAATTGTAACATTCTGAAAGCCATCAAATTGTAACTGTCACGCCCCGCTTCCCAAAATACTGGGAAATCAGAACGTGAACAAGTCCGCGACGTATTCGATTGAGAAGAAATATTATCATCATTTTTTTTTTCTTCTCAATCCAATACGCTAAGCGTCAAATACATAAATCTCAATCACAGGTCCCCGATCACAATAGCAAGAATAGAAAGACAATCCAGAATAAGAAATAAACATATCATCCATAGTGAATCATCCCAGACATAAATATGGGTTCATCATACCCTTACTACAACAACAGTTCAACTAGGAAATAAGAAATACATAGTCCATAAAAGGAAATACTAACAAAATAACCAAATCTGTCACCAAACTAAAGAAAATACTGCAAGAGTGCTCTATTAGCTACTACAGAAAAGAAAATGCGTCTAGGCTTCAGTTTGTTCTTCCACTCCATCAGAAGGACATTCCGGCTGAGCATACACTGGTTCGGCGGCATCATCGAACTGAACCTGTTCGTCTCCTAAGTCTGACGCACACCAGAGAAAACAGGTGTACGTCAGGTGCATAGCGCACGGCAAGATCTCACATGAACAAATAAAACGGTCTAATGTTCCATGCTACGATAATAATAATAATAACAAAAAGATAATGATACATGCAACTGAAATCTAATGGTAACATACAACTATGTGAATACAGTGACTGGGTCGAATACTAACCAACCTAAAACTCAGTGGTCCACATCTCACACAGAGTCAACGCTCCTATCATCGGATAACTGGCTGTTCACAAATCCCCTACGTGCATCCAATACCGCTACACGAATCGGTCAGAGGACTACACGCAATCCGATTTCGGCCTGGTCCGAACTCAAGCAGAACTCGGGTGACTACACAAATTCACTGACTAAAGTGACTACACGAATTCACTTTAGCCCATCAAACCAACCCCAGTGACTACACGAATTCACTGGCGCGAGCCTGGAAGATACATCAACAGCTATATCCGATCACATGAACATTAACTTCCCCATCCCAACTCTTCTCGTTTTTCTAAGTCAACACAACACATGTCTTTAGGTCTTATTCATGTCACACAGGTCACTATAGTCTATTTTCCCAAACATAATTTCTTTTTAAAAATATGTCATTCTAAAATGATTTCTTCCACAAAATAATTTCTAAAAATTATTATAATTATTCTAAAATGATTCTTTTTCCAAGATAATTCCTTTTAAATTATTATAATTTTCCTAAAAAATGATTTTGTTCTCACATAAATTCTTTTTAATTACTATAATTGTCCAAAAATAATTCAGCTGCCGAAATAAATTCTTTTAATTTTTCATAATTATTCTAAAAATACTAATTATCATATTATTATGATTTATCTAAAATCATTCATCAAACAATCTCACGCAGATAATTATTGAGAAATCTAAAATTACAAATAATTCATAATAAATACAAAAATTCAGTTTTGAGCAAGTGGGATCTTGCCTCGGGTATATCGCGGACTGTAG